ACTTCCGAGGGGGGTAAAATGAGGGCCCGGTTTGTTGATGTGGGCAATATGCTGACTCTGTAAACTGCTTAGAGAGGGCTGAAAGCCCTATGAAGCGGTATATAAGTCTAACTGCTATTGCTATATAGGATTATTAGTGAATGGCAGATACTTCTTGGTTGTCATGTCTCACATCTACTCAGTTCAGGTTGACATTAGTCCTTCAAAATGATGGCAAATATTTAATTTATAAAGCAAAGCATATATTTTTCCATGTAAAATATGGAAAATTTTTTTAATTTATTGAATTTCCATTGGGAAATTCATGCTAAGATGCTGAAGAGAAACTATCAAACAAAATAGAAATTACTTAGGTAAGTAACCTAGTTGTCTGATAAGATATCAAAATAAGTCTCATAGAGCTTTAATTTTTTCCTTTGTTTTGAAAATTGTTTAAATATTGTTAAAACTATTTTATTTCATCTGCTGTTTTATTACATGTAAATTACTTTGAGGATCATTGGAGCTCAAAGCAATAATTATTTTATGTTCACAGTGTAAATTGCAAAACTTTGCCCATTAAATATACTATTATCTGTTAAATTGAAAACAAGACTAGTAATTTTTAAGGTTTTTTTGTTTAAAGATATAAAATCATTCACTGAATTATTCAATTTTACCATGAGAATAGAAGAACTCAACTTACCTCGTATATGAACTGTGATTCCGTGTATCATGTCACGAACTTTTAAGTATTGGAATAGAAAAAGAAAACATTATTTTTTCAGTGTTTTCAATGAGTCCCGCAACCCATGAGCCACTGCTATTAAGTTAAAAATGTCACTGCTACTGTAAGACATATCAAAGATTATTACTTTACAGAGAAATCACTTTAATATTATTTTATTGCCAGGGATGCACCAAATAGTACTTGATCTGGGTTGTACCAGACATTTGAAACAAATATGGGGTTCAGTGAAAAGAGAAAAGCAAAAAGCAAAGAATTGTTCATGCAAAAAAATATGGAACAGTTGATAAATTAACTTTTATATCCTGCATATTAAATAGTAACTTTAATCAGAATAGATGTTACAGTAGTGTATTTTACCAAATTGTTTACTGATAAAGGAAATTGAATCAAAATTTATTAATAGGACAGTAGTGACATGATTAATAATACACATTCAACTCTGCTTGTTTGGCATATCTTAAATATTACTTCCTGTATAAATGATGTTAACCCATCTTTTGAGTATTTATATTTTACTTGAGTGTTTCTTTCTTAAACTTGAAAGATCTAGTTGAGATAAAGTTAAATGTTTCAGGTAAAAAAAATCTAAAATGTATTTAGTTCTTTTTATTCAAATTAGTAGGCACCAAAAATATTTAATACTGGCTAAATCACACCTTTGAGAAGATGGAATTCTTCCTTGCTGATTCTTCCTTGCTAAACATAATCAAACACACACACATACACACAAACACACACACATTTTTAAAAGTAGCATTTAAATGCCAAAGCTTCCATGAACATCAGAGGCAAGATTCAGCCATAAGTGATCACACATCTCAAAAAATATGAAATATCCCTAAGCAGGAACACTACTTGGTTGTTTGTTGCTTCTCAGATTGTTTTTTTTTAAATGTTGTTTAAAAAGGCTAATTCTACGTTTTGGGTCAGAATGCTACAAATTCTTAAAGTCTGGTTTCACAGGAAAAGTTTCTTAATAATAGTTGAGCAAACAATGGCTATTTCATAAAATACACAAAGCCAAAATCAATACCGTATTTTTCGGAGTATAAGACGCACCAGAGTATAAGACACACTCAGATTTTCACCCTTTTTTGGGGGGAGGTGTGTCTTATACTCTGAAAAATACAGTAATTATATTATGGCTTAGCTTGATGCATGATCAGCATTGTCATTTATTATACTTATATCATGACTAACAGCACAAATCTGTCCAAGTTTGTGAACCTCAGATGCCTTGGAAACCTATGCTTGCATCAATTTGCGAAAAAGCAAAGGTGGGTATTTCTAAGTGCTAAATTACTCACCATTACTTCCAATAGCAGTTGAGTATTGCAGGCCTATTTTTAATAAAAGCAGAGTAAATAATTTTTTTAATAAGCAGTTACATTTTGTTTATAAAAATAGAAGCAGTCTCCTGACTATTTTAAAACTTGCTAGGAATAGTTCAGGAGATGAAATAAAAAGGAAACAAGAGGAAGAGAAAGGCTTCTTAAGTGACTTTTTAAAAATCAAGTCAATTGAAATGTTTTTATAGCTAAATAATTAATGGAAATGATAAAACTGCTGGTTAAGGTTTGAGACTGAATGATTCCTGAATTCCAACATAAGACGTAGTATCCAAATTCACATTTTGTTCCTACAAATCCTGCCTGCAGAACAAAATGCTGAGTATGTTCAACTAAGACAAAATAAACTTATCTAGAGGGAGAAAGGATGTATCATAAAGATAACATTACAAATAATTAATATGTTGATTTCTAGTAGTTGAATTTGACTCTTAACTACCATGTTTCCCCAAAAATAAGACCCTGTCTGATTTTCTTTTGATCTCTGAAATAAGCACTAGGGCTTATTTTCAGGGGATGTATTAATTCCCCCCCTTCCCTCCAGGGCAGTTCACTGTCCAAGAGAAGGTGAAAGCTTCAACAGGAAGGGAAGGTTACTTGGGTCGAAGGCTGAGAAAGTGGGGTTAATACGCAAGGTGTTGGTACCGGTCAAGCTTGGCATTTCACCTTCCTGCCTTTTGTGAACTTTTGGCTGCACACAAGGAAAGCAGTTGCAGCGGAAACCCTGGCTTGTTTCTCTCCTCCCAAACTCCTCCAGAAATGGGTTTTTACAAGTAGCGGCACCGGCATGATGAGCCTCATGGCAGTGTCACTGCTCACATATACAATGGTGCAACAAGCCTTGCGGCATCCTGCTGCAAGCGCCAGCACCGGCAAAATGAACCACACAAAGACCCATTTCTGGCAGAGTTTGGGGGAAAGAAAGAAGCCAGAATCTCTGTTGCATCTGCTTTCCTTTTGTGCAGCCAAAAGTTCACAAAAGGCAGGAAGGTGAAATGCCAAGCTCAACCTGCACCAGGAACTCATATATCAAACCCACTTTCTCAGCCTACTACCCAAGTGACCCTCCCCTCCTGCTGAGGCTTTAGGAATACCTCACAATTCCCCTCTACCCAATTTTCCTGCTGATCATCCTTTCCTTGGGTCAAAGATGCAGAGAGAGCATTTTTTGGATGTGCGTCTGTACAAGGCTGGCGTGGCTGATGAGCAGAGGGGGGGGATCTGGTTTAGGTAAGTATGGTGGAGCAGGAAAGCAGATATGCAGGCTCTTCTTGGATCTTGTTGGCCACCTTGTTATCATGGTTTGATTTTGCTTGAGAAGCGGGAGAGGGAGAAAGATCAGAAGCGGGCAGGGTGAGGAAAACTCTTTCAGATAGTGATCTGTGGATCTGTGGATATTCCTGCCAATCCTCCTTTTCTTGGGAACTCTGCACAGACGCACATCCCAAAAATGCTCCCTCCATGGCTTCATAGCTCCAGCCTTGAAATGTAGCAGAAAGTGAATGTTCACTCCAAAGATGAGTGTTGCATTGGGAGACCACCGCAGGTAAAATTTCTGAAATATTACCTTTCACCATTGTACTCGCAAGAAAATCCAGTCCCCAATCATGATTTGATTTTGCTTGAGATGCCGGAGAGGGAGAAAGATTGGACGTGGGCAGGGTGACGAAAAATCTTTCAGAAAGTGATCTGTGGGGGATGATTTCTCTGTCTATCCTCCTTTTCTTGGGGAGCCCTGCATGACACATACCAAATATGCTCCCTCTATGGCTTCAGAGCCTCTAGCCTTGCAACTGTTCACAGGGAAGGCAGAGGTTTGCTCTGAGGCTGTGGTAGAGCATAGCACTGGGAGGCCTCTGTGGGTAAATTGATTTGCTCATCTTGCTCCAGCAAGAGGGGTGCAGGCCAGGGGCTTGGTAGTCAAGGAAGATGGGGTTTGGGGGTGCAAAGGAGGAAGGGGCAATCTTCCTCTCCATCCTCCATCCTGCTGCAGGGCAGCATGACCACTGGCAAAGGAGGCCCTGGCAGACCAGCAGTGGGAGAGGTGCTCCAGAGACATAGATATGGGCCGAGTTGCCCCGTGCCAGGCAGGAGCAGCCCAACAAGGCTGCTGAGAGCAGCACAGCCAGGAGGGTGAAGATCCCCTATGAGGCTAGCAACAGCAGGTGCAGCAGGTCCAGCAGCTGGGCAGAGGCAGGGGGAGCCAATTCCACTGTGCTGTACAGCCTTCTGCCTCATCATAGCAGTAGCCTGAGCAAGACCCAAGCTCCAGGCCTAGCGGAGCACAACCATGGTCATCACCTGCTCCAGAGCCACAAGGTGAGCTGCTGAAGAGAAGGGCCCTCAGCTGTGAGGTTGCCTGGCACTGTGGGCAGGGCCAGAGCTGGCAAGAGTGCACCAGAAACACCTCCAGGCACCTGGAGAGACAGAATGAGAGGCAAATCCAAATCCTCGCTAGCTCAGCTGATCCATGGGGCCGTGATTAAGGAGTCAAGCCTCCATGAGATGACCGAGAAGGGAAGGGTTGCCTCCTATGCTGGCCATTCCCACCCCCTTCACTAGGGCTTATTTTTTGGGTAGGGCTTATATTATATTAGGCGCAGGCATGAAAATTGGGCTACGGCTTGTTTTTGGGGTATATCATATTTTCAGGGAAACACAGTATTTTTAACTATGTATTAAAACTTCAATGATGAATTAATTCTGTTTCTCTAACTTTATTTGAACAATTATGTAAGGGAGATTAAGCTGAATGCTGCTGAATCTAATGGATTCATTTATGTGTTAATATTCAAAACTGTGATACAGGATTAAAACCTTTCTTTTTAATTCTTTGCACATTTACTTGGAAGTAGATGACAAAGATGATTACAGCCATTAAAATAAATTAAAATAATAACTATCATTGATAAAAATTAGAATATATCTTACCTGCCAGATAAAAAAATGGAAAAAAGGCAACAAAATAATTGGTTGAAGCATTCAACTTCATGTTCACAGGAATGTTGATTTACAAGAATGTCTGAACTTCAAATAATAGAATCCAGCTGTATAGAAAGACAAAAAGAGAGAAATAAATGGTTTTGTTTCTGAGCATCTCCTGACATTATTTAAAAATCTATGGCATACCTGATTAATATCCATAAAACAGGATAAATGCCACACTGTTTATTAATTAAGATCTGAGTGACATGTACTTATTAATTTTAGTATTATTTACAACAAGATAATCAGAAAGGTGTCAATATTAACCGTTAACAATATTATTTCAGGTATAATATACATTTCAAATTCCAGAGATTAAGAATGAACTCCACATTGCCCAACTGCCAACTCTTTGAATGAGTTATTTTGATTTTCTAAACAAATAATTGGTTAGTGATTACTTTAAATGGTTTGAACTAACCTACCCTTTAATACTGGATTATACATTCACTAATTAAAATAATTAATGTTTCAAATTCTTAAATTATCACTGTAAAGCGAGTGGTGACCCCAGTTTTGTTCCAGGAAAAGATGGGACTTTTCATCTATGTGTTGATTATAAAGAGCTAAATGCAGTGTATGTAGAAAATGTCTACCCACTGACCAGTGATGTGCGGTGAGCTTCATGGCCGGTGAGGCAAGCGCGAAAGCCCCGCTGAAGCCCCGGCACCGCGTCCGCCATAGAGCGGATGTGGTGCCGGGACTTTAAAGTCCTGCCACCGGGGTCCTGCCTCCACTTTAAAGCCCTGCCACTGGGGCCTGAGTGGCCATGATTCCCCCCTCCATAGCCAGCCAGCCCACCCAGCCCATTCCTCCCCCCGCCACCGCTGTGTCCAACAGGCCAGGCATCTTGCATTGATGGCGGACATAAACACGAGATGCCTGGCCTGTTGGACACAGCGGTGGCGGGGGGAGGAATGGGCTGGGTGGGCTGGCTGGCTATGGAGGGGGGAATCATGGCCACTCAGGCCCCAGTGGCAGGGCTTTAAAGTGGAGGCAGGACCCCGGTGGCAGGACTTTAAAGTCCCGGCACCACATCCGCTCTATGGCGGACGCGGTGCCGGGGCTTCAGCGGGGCTTTCGCGCTTGCCTCACCGGCCATGAAGCTCACCGCACATCGCTGGTCAGTGGGTAGACATTTTCTACATACACTGCATTTAGCTCTTTATAATCAACACATAGATGAAAAG